TATGCAAATTTAATCGACAAAAAAAATGTTTAAATTGCTGCAACAATTATTCCCAATGGAATTTTCCGTTTGCTATATTTCTTTGCAAATTATTTTTCTCTTTAAAATTCCTTCTCTTTCTCCTTCTCTTTCTCCCTCTTTTGTCTTTTTCTCTGTCCCTTCTACTCCTCTTTTTCTGCAAATAATGCTTAAATTGTTTTCCAATTGAAATTTTAAAATTTTAGTGAATTTTTTTTTTCTATTCATTCAATAATGCATATCATTTGTACTTTATTTTTTTTTTTCTATCATTCATTAATAAATATTACAACTCTTTCTCTCTCTCTTTCTCTCTCTTTCTGTCTCTTTCTAGAGACGCTATCTCTGTCATTCCTTTTTTTTCTGTCAATAATATTTAATCTTTTTTTAAAGTGGAATTTTAAAATTTTAATGAATCTTTTTCTTTATTCATCCAAAAATGCATATCATTTGTTACATTTCTTTCATCATTCATTAATAATATTATAATTTTCCCATCCTTTCTCCCTTTCTTACCCTCCCTCTCTCCTTCTCTCGCTCTCTCCCCTCCCTCTCTCTCTCTCTCTCTCTCTTTCTCTCTCTTTATCTTTTATTCATTGCAAATAATGGTTGTAAAAATTTCAAAGAAAATTGTAAAATTTCCCATTCGTTATTTTAATTTATTCTTACAAAAATATTATATTATTTGTAATTTATTTTTATTTTTATTTTATTTTTTTCACTTATTTTACTTATACTTTTTTATTTTTATTTTTTACTATTTTTTATTTATACTAATTTTTTTTTTTCAAAAAATTTAATTAAAAATATTATAATTAATCAATTTTAACATTTATAGCCATTAACAGGAAAGCATGCATTAGATATGTGTAAATTGATGCGAAATTATAAGGAATCTGGTCGATCAACGTTAAATACACCAAATCGTAATATTGGTCAAATTAATCCGGAACGACGATTATCAACTGGTACACTTAATCGGTAAAAAATTTTCAAATTTTTTTCTTTCCTTTTTTTTTTTTTTATAATTAATTAAGATATATATATGCTTTAATGGTATAAATTAGTTTATTTTTTCAAATATTTATTCAAATTTAATTAAAAAAAAATTTTAATTTTTTTTTTTAGATTAATTCTTGTTGCACAAGCATTAGAATCAGAGGTGCAATATCGACAACAAATTGATATAAATGTAAAACGAATTGTTATTACATTACGAACGATTAATTTGGTAAGAAAGAAAATTTAAAATAAAATTTTAATTTAAAAGTATTTCAAAATTAATTTTAAAGAGTTAAATTTAAATGAATGTATTTAATGAAATAAATAAGAATTGAGGAAGTCAATTTAACTAAATCTTTTTTGATATACTTAAATTTTGTTAATTATTTCCTGTTATTATCAAACTTTATTCATTTCATTGATTTCTTTTCTTTTTTTTTTTTTTAATACAATGTATTTGAGATAATAAAATAAAGGAGATAAATTAGGAGAAAAATGAAATGACTTATTTAATGAATGTTTAAATTTTTCACAAAATCTCAAATTTACATTTGAAAGAAAAATGGCTGTAATTTACGGATTCCGGAAAATGAAAGGTATGGGAAATTTAAAAAAAATGTCTATAGATTATACATTTCGAATAGTGGTAAGCAGAGGGATTGCAAAAAGACATATAGTTTATGGATTCCGGAAAGTGGAGAATGGGGGGAATAAAAAAATAACTATAGTTAACGGATTTCGGGAAGCGGAGGATAAGGTAATTTAAACAAAATGACTGTAGTTTAGTAAATTCCGGAAAATGGGAGATGGGAGAATAAAAAAATGACTATAGTTTCGGATTCCGAAAAGCGGAGGGTAAGGGAATTTAAACAAACTGACTACAATTTAATGGATTCCGGAAAATGGAGGAAGAAAGAAAAGAGAGAAAAAAATGTGCATAAATCGAATCAAGTAAAAGTTTATTTCATTTATAAAATTTAAAAAGGAAATGATTCAATTAAGAAAAAAGAAAATTTTTGGTCAGTAACGAAACTGATAAAATGATTAAGCTTAAGTCAATGCTTTTGATCAGTGGAAAAACTAATAAACTGATTAAGCTCAAGTCAATGTTTTTGATCAATAGAAAAACTGATAAACTGATTAAGCTTAAGTTAATGTTTTTGATCAGTAGAAAAACTGATAAAATAATTAAGCTCAAGTCAACGTTTTTGATCAATAGAAAAACTGATAAAATGATTAAGCTTAAGTTAATGTTTTTGATCAATGGAAAAATTGATAAAATGATTAAGCTTAAGTTAATATCCCAAGCTATACGATATGATCATTTCCGGTTAATATTTACGCAGTAACTATTAAAAGGTTAAAATGTCAAATGATTCAATTGCGAATTTTTACATTGCAAAATGTTTATAACTTTCATTTTAAATTTAAATTTTCAACAATTTAAAGTTTTATTAAAAAAACAATGAAATTTGCTTTCTAATGATGGTAAGAAATATTGTTGTTGTTATTGCTAAATGTTTTATTTCAATTATTTTAGTAAATCAGTTTTTTTTTTTAGCTGAACTATTTTCGTAAATCAATTTTTTATTTCAATTATTTTACTAAATTATATTCATAATTGCAAATTTGTCACATTTCAAATGTTGATTGAATATGTATTAATTAATCGTTTGGATGACACAGTCAAATACCAAAAACTTATTAGCATCATTATCTCTCATTTCAAATTAATTTTACATTCACGATACGACAGCTTATTAGCATCGTTTACAAATGCTTATTCACTATTGTTAGCTTTGCTAGTCGGAAATGATTCAGCATTTTCATTAATTAACGAATAAATTTCCAATTTCATGGAAAAGCTCAAAAAAGAAAAATTTTTTTTTATTTTTATTTTAATTAATTTTAACGAAAGGGTGGAAAAAAAAGAACAAATTTTAATATTTCAAATTTTATTTTTAACAAATATTTAATCAGTTCTGATATAATTTTCTTCTTTTATTAAAGAA